AGGTTTTACTCAACAGCTTAAATAACTTTGGAAAAGAAGAACTGTGCTGTGACAAGCTGACCAACCACTTTAGAAATGTAGCCTCATATGGGGGCTCCACCCACTGAAAAGTGTTCACTCAGTATAGCAAATAAAGTTGGGTTCAAAAAATAGACAACTGTCCATTGTAAATACTATAGTAGTTCTTCCTTCCAGGCAGCTTTGCCCTGCAGTAGCCTTGTTTGGAATGGGCTGGTTACTGTTCTTCTCTTACTATGTTTTATTGGATATCCTGTTTGGTTGTTGTGGCCCTCTTGATATGATACAAACATAGTTCTGTTCTGTGATGGTTTCCTGCACGGGGCTGAAAATGGACGCTAGGAAAATAATTGGGATCCGTTTGCCCACATTGCATTCAGTAATGTGGGCAATTGACTTGCACACAATCTATATCTGTCCTCAGTGCTCCATGCTCCACAGGCTGTGTATAATTTAGACTGTCAGAGGACTCTCTCGCCAGTTGAAATTAAAGTATAAACTACTAAACAAAATGCCCAGTATCATTGCTTGGCACTGCCGTTCAGTAACAATATTCACATGGAGCATTTTATTTTTACCTTTAAAAAATAGGCATGAAGGCCTTGAAGTTTCAGGGGATTCTTGTGTTCAACATAACTGTTGAAATTTGTTGTGGCTTAAGATAATGTAGTCACTTATTTAACCCAGTTGATGGTTTGCACTGGTTCCATAGACAGATAACTCTATATTGCAGGGGTTGGCAACAGGAGGCTGGTGGGCCAAAACCAGCCCACGAGTGATTGTTTTTGACCCCCCAAAGTTTTTGCAGAAAATATATAAAATAAAATTTGGATTTTCGTTTTTGGTCAAAAAAGACTAAAATCACCAGGAATTCAGCAACACATTTGTTTCATTTGGGAAATCTGTTCACCAAGTATTCCGACAAATAAGAAAAGAGGCATATCTGCGGACCAAATAAAACCAATCATAATGTCTGTGTTTCACAAGTTTGGACAGCACAGTACAGTCAATTACAGTATAGTACAGTAAATAAAAGTAGAGTGGAGTAGAGTACAGTACACAGTAGAGCACACTAGACTTGACTACACTATAATGTACTGTACTGAACTTTATTGTACCTCACTGTACTCTACTCGACTGTTCTGTGCTGTACTGTACTCTACTGAGCTCTTCTGTGCTGTACTTTGATGTCCAGACTTGTGAAACATAGATGTCTATGATTGGTTCGGACCATCAACATTTGGTCATGTTTGGTGACTGATTGCATTAATAGCCAGTGTGTGGAATAATACCTAAATATGCAAAGGATATTGCATATTCCTACCTTAGTGTACCTATTTAGGGTACATCACCATGAAGAGAATGACATTCATATCCATCATTATACATTTCTGTGTAGTAGAGATCAGGGACCCATGATGAAATTCCGATACCACAATTATGTCACCGTGTGTAAATCCACTTCACTTACTGTAGTTCAATAACCAAAATAGATTTTTTTCAAACTCACTGTGTCATGTCATAGCTAACACCCCATTCTTTCTGCACACATCTTTGAATCTTAATTCGGAGCATATAAACTGAGGGATATTTTACCGTAATTCTGTTACCAAACTTTACATCTGCACAGTTCTTCCAGCAAATGTGTTTTTGTCAAATGTTTAGTGTAAATTGTTAAAATTGTTGGATGGTTTGTTAAACTTTGAAATCAATGGTTTTTGTTTCGCATACATTTTAAGTGAAAAATCTGAGTCTCAGCGCAATTCCGTTACCGTGGAATTGCCCCTATCTGTACAGTACCTTGCAAGAGTATTCATCCCCCTTGGCGTTTTTCCAATTTTTTTGCATTACAACCTGTAATTTAAATTGATATTTATTTGGATTTCATGTAATGGACAACATAGTCCAAATTGGTGAAGTTAAACTAAAAAAATTACTTGTTTAAAAAATGTCTACAAAATAAATAATGGAAAAGTGGTGTGTGCATATGTATTCACCCCCTTTGCTATGAAGCCCCTAAATAAGATCTGGTGCAACCAGTTACCTTCAGAAGTCACATAATTAGTTAAATAAAGTCCACCTGTGTGCAATCTAAGTATCACATGATCTGTCACATGATCTCAGTATATATACACCTGTTCTGAAAGGCCCCAGAGTCTGCAACACCACTAAGCAAGGGGCTCTCCAAACAGGTCAGGGACAAAGTTGTGGAGAAGTACAGATCAGGGTTGGGTTATAAAAAAATATCTGAAACTTTGAACGTCCCACGGCGCACCATTAAATCCATAATGAAAAAAATTGAAAGAATATGGCACCACAACAAACCTACCAAGAGAGGGCCACCCACCAAAACTCACGGACCAGGCAAGGAGGGCATTAATCAGAGAGGCAACAAAGAGACCAAAGATACTCCAATCTCAGCTCCTTCAGGGTTATCTGTCCATAGGACCACTTTAAGCCGTACACTCCACAGAGCTGGGCTTTACGGAAGTGGCCAGAAAAAAGCCATTGCTTAAAGAAAAAAATTATCAAACACGTTTGGTGTTCGCCAAAAGGCATGTGGGAGACTCCCCAAACATATGGAAGAAGGTACTCTGGTCAGATGAGACTAAAATTGAGCTTTTTGGCCATCAAGGAAAACACTATGTCTGGCGCAAACCCACCTCTCATCACCCTGAGAACACCATCTTCACAGTGAAGCATGGTGGTGGCAGCATCATGCTGTGGGGATGTTTTTCATTGGCAGGGAATGGGAAACTGGTCAGAATTGAAGGAATGATGGATGGCGCTAAATGGCCTGCTGGCTCCCCTTCCTCTGCGGAAGCATAGTTCCCGCTCAGCCCAGTCAAAACTGTTCGCTGCTCTGGCACCCCAATGGTGGAACAAGCTCCCTCACGACGCCAGGACAGCGGAGTCACTCACCACCTTCCGGAGACATTTGAAACCCCACCTCTTTAAGGAATACCTGGGATAGGATAAAGTAATCCTTCTACCCCCCCCCCCCCCCCCCCCAAAAAAAAAAAAAAAATGTAAAGTGGTTATAGGGTGAATGCACCAATTTGTAAATCGCTCTGGATAAGAGCGTCTGCTAAATGACGTAAATGTAAATGTAAATGTAAATACAGGGAAATTCTTGAGGGAAACCTGTTTCTGTCATCCAGAGATTTGAGACTGGGACGGAGGTTCACCTTCCAGCAGAACAATGGCCCTAAGCATACTGCTAAAGCAACACTCGAGTGGTTTAAGGGGAAACATTTCAATGTCTTGAAATTGCCTAGTCAAAGCCCAGACCTCAATCCAACTGCAAAAGGTGGCTCTACAAAGTATTGACTTTGGGGGGGTGAATAGTTATGCACGCTCAAGTTTTCTGTTTTTTTGTCTTATTACTTGTTTGTTTCACAATAAAAATGATTTTGCATCTTCAAAGTGGTAGGCATGTTGTGTAAATCAAATGATACAAACCCCAAAAAAATCAAATTTAACTCCAGGTTGTAAGGCAACAAAATAGGAAAAATTCCAAGGGGGTGAGTACTTTCGCAAGCCACTGTAAAAGGTTTCTAAATGGTCTACTCGTGAGGCTTTTGCCGTCATGCTTTTGCATTATTTACAATTCACATAGGCCTACCTGCAATGCATACTCCATTAGTTTTGTATCCATCCCCATTTTCAAAGAGCACCTCTTGTCTGTTTACCAAAGACACGCTCCTCCTAACCTATTCAAATTATTCAGTCCTATAATGCCATATCAACGGTAGGCCTAGGCTATATCTTGCTTATTGAGAACGTGCCTCACAGATACAATACAATTTACGGGAGCCTAGTATTTTCTAGTTGAGGAGCGCTAAGATTTGCCATTGAGTTAGATTTGTTAAAGTTCCAGTGCTGTCAAAAACATGATTTTCCTGTGTTTTATATATATTTCCACACTGAGGTTTCGAATAATACTGTGAAATTGTGACAATTAGGATAATCCTGGGCACAGACGTCAATTCGACGTCTATTCCACATTGGCTCAGCATAATTTCATTGAAATGACGTGGAAACAATGTTAATTCAACCAGTGTGTGCACAGTGGGAATGCCCTTTTTAATATATATAGCTGTTTAAAAAGACTGCCTGAAATTTCTGCCTGTTTTGGTGGGATGGAGTTTTGGCCTGCCTGGTGACATCACCGGTAAATTATTTAATAGACCAATAAAAAAGAGAGTTCCAAACCTCTCTGCCAATAACAGCTAGTTTTCCGTTTTGCCTTCCCCACTCAGACCACTCCCAGACAGTCGTAGCAAAATTCTTACTTGAGAAATTGCTCTTTGCTAAGAAGCTATTTTTGTTTATTTTTAATCATTTTTATTGGAAACAATCACAGTAAGATACTTAATTGTTACCCAGAAATGATTTGATATTGACATAAAAATGGCTGCATTGGACCTTTAAAATAGAGCCCTTTACTTCCTATTCCACAAATATTAGAAGTATCCTGGATGTTGACAAGAAGACAGTCTCAAAGGACACTATAAGTTCAATCGAACAATATGTTCAGCACAGCAAATATGGATTTTGAGTCTGGATTTGGGCCTCAGTTTTGTCAACATCAGCTGTGAAAACCAGATGGCTCTCCACTGACTTAGCTGAAGAGTGTGTGTGAAAGTTATAATCAAGGTGTTGTCTTTGTCTCGTACACGTTGCTAGTTGCTATCCTTTAATCCTCGATTGCATAACATAGGTGACTCCTCACATCTGGCTTTGAAATAGGGGATCTCTAGTTCAAAAACAATACTCAAACCTGGCTGTGTCCTTATATGGAACTGGCAGACTCATCGGTTTAAATTCCCTATAACTGCCTGTGCTCAAATGCTTTCTCATCTTCTAAATAATGGTTTGTTTGTATGTTTATCTAACAGTCTTTTGTTTCTATCATTTAATGCTGCTCCTTTCCACCAACTCTCTCTCCTCCCTTTCAACCCCCCCTGAAAAGTTAAGACATGAAACGGCGGACGTCATCGCTGCTGGTCAGTATTGGAGGCAGTCCAAGGTCAGTCCGTTAGCCCAGCTGAAATCTGCTGCCTCTGAACCATGCTGCCCCACTGAGTAGTGCGTACTCAGTTGGGCTCTCTGCTTTTCTGGAGGATGTTCCTCTGGGGAAGCAAAACTGTGTGACGGGTTGGTCACGTGGTCAGACGCTGGGAGGTTATGGTCCATAGGCTAACTGTGACAGCAACCCCAGGTGGCATATTCCCCCCAGAATGCTGTTGTTCATAAGTAAAACTAGTATGCTTCCCTTTGGTCTAGTCTATACAGGTCCCCACATCCACACAGTCCCCAATCTCTTTTATCATCCCGTAGTCTAAATCAACTGTGGGTGGTGTGTTTGTGTTGTATATGTACATCTCTTTGTATTGGTGGTGGTTTTTGTCAGTCACACATTGTCCACCTAGGTAATAATGCCTCTGTATCTTTTGAAGCTTTATTTCTCTGTGAAGCAGGGATTGGGAACATTTTCTCCGAGTATGACAGAGGAAATGAATAGGCAGTATCAGATGGGAGAGTAATGGTAAAGATGGCCGTCGTTCAGAGAAGTCAGACTCTCATTAGATCGGAGCTCTCTCTCTCTCTCTCTCTCTGCTCTCATGTGTTGAAGTCAATGACTGTGCTGCTTTTGTCGCCTGACGAACGCTGTGGAATGTTTCAACTGGCCGATTTCACGCCAGCGGGAGCGGAAAATATTTTTGGTATCTCAGATTGTTCTTCAAGCTATTGGGACAGGGCCTTGGAATTCAGCAGGGATATACAGTTGAAGTCGGAAGTTTACATACACTTATGATGGAGTCATTAAATGGAGTTGAAGGATGGGACTAATAACAACTAACAACAACTAACAAAAACAAGATAACTAATAATGTAAGCATACTGTGTCCATAATAAGTATATATGTTATAGGTTGAGAGCTTTTGTGAAAGAGCACAGTTAGAAAGATATGGCATACAGAAGCAAACCGGATGGACATCATGAAAATTATCGGAGAGGTTGAGGGTAGAGGAAGTTCAGGAGTAAAAACAAACAAAATATAATTATTGTAAAATTGACTGTGTCCATTAAATGTATATAGTATGTATAAGCTGGAAGTAGAGGCCTAAGCATTGTTGTTCACTAGTTTACTCCAATTGGGGAAGGGGTGGTGGGGTTGAAAAGTAATAAAGGGAAATACATTTAAAAAAGGAAATGTATGTACAGTGGGGGACAAAAGTATTTAGTCAGCCACCAATTGTGCAAGTTCTCCCACTTAAAAAGATGAGAGAGGCCTGTAATTTTCATCATAGGTACACGTCAACTATGACAGACAAATTGAGAAACAAAATTCCAGAAAATCACATTGTAGGATTTTTAATGAATTTATTTGCAAATTATGGTGGAAAATAAGTATTTGGTCACCTACAAACAAGCAAGATTTCTGGCTCTCACAGACCTGTAACTTCTTATTTAAGAGGCTCCTCTGTCCTCCACTCGTTACCTGTATTAATGGCACCTGTTTGAACTTGTTATCAGTATAAAAGACACCTGTCCACAACCTCAAATAGTCACACTCCAAACTCCACTATGGCCAAGACCAAAGAGCTGTCAAAGGACACCAGAAACAAAATTGTAGACCTGCACCAGGCTGGGAAGACTGAATCTGCAATAGGTAAGCAACTTGGTTTGAAGAAATCAACTGTGGGAGCAATTATTAGGAAATGGAAGACATACAAGACCACTGATAATCTCCCTCGATCTGGGGCTCCACGCAAGATCTCACCCCGTGGGGTCAAAATGATCACAAGAACGGTGAGCAAAAATCCCAGAACCACACGGGGGGACCTAGTGAATGACCTGCAGAGAGCTGGGACCAAAGTAACAAAGCCTACCTGAGATGTGTGCAAACCTGGTGGCCAACTACAAGAAACGTCTGACCTCAGTACTTGGTGGCAAAGTAATGTTTTGCAGAGGGGTCAAATACTTATTTCCCTCATTAAAATGCAAATCAATTTTTAACATGCGTTTTTCTGGATTATTGTGTTGTTATTCTGTCTCTCACTGTTCAAATAAACCTACCATTAAAATTATAGACTGAACATGTCTTTGTCAGTGGGCAAACGTACAAAATCAGCAGGGGATCAAATACTTTTTTCCCTCACTGTATTGAAGCAACATCTCAAGACATCAGTCAGGAAGTTAAAGCTTGGTCGCAAATGGGTCTCCCAAATGGACAATTACCCCAAACATACTTCCAAAGTTGTGGCAAAATGGCTTAAGGGCAAAAAAGTCAAGGTATTGGAGTGGCCATCACAAATCGCTGACCTCAATCCTATAGAAAATGTGTGGGCAGAACTGAAAAAGCATGTGCGAGCAAGGAGGCCTACAAACCTGACTCAGTTACACCAGCTCTGTCAGGAGGAATGGGCCAAAATTCACCCAACTTATTGTGGGAATTATGTGGAAGGCTACTTGAAATGTTTGACCCAAGTTAAACAATTTAAAGGCAATGCTACCAAATACTAATTGAGTGTATGTAAACGTCTGACCCACTGGGAATGTGATGAAAGAAATAAAAGCTTAAATAAATATTTCTCTCTACTATTATTCTGACATTTCACATTCTTAAAATAATGTGGTGATCCTAACTGACCTAAGACAATACATTTTTACTAGGATGAAATGTCAGGAATTGTGAAAAACTGAGTTTAAATGTATTTGGCTAAGGTGTATTGAAACTTCCGACTTCAACTGTAATTGTAGATGTGACAGCAGACACACAGGATGCTCACAGCAGCTTATGTCACACCAGGAAGTGGAGTTCAGTACACTCTGCAGCTGCTTATTCCCATGAGACAGTACAGCCTCTGCATTTTCTCAGCATGGTTTATATTTGGGTGGTTAAAATATAAAAAATGATGTAATTTGTATGAGAAATTGCTTGTCGTCATTCCTATCTCACAATAATGTATTACCTTGTGGAAATTCAGTAAAATAAGGCAAAGTCAATTATGAGGGGGGGGGATTACATTAATTTTGACAAACTTTATGAATCCACAAATCTGCTCGTGGGGCATGCTGAGATCACTTGCCACATGTTCCATTTGTGATTTTTATGTTTTGCCATGCAGGGAAAACATTTCATTCAACATTTCTAATATCACACCAAAGGACATGATGTCTTAACATAGGTCAAAATAAAAGAAGCAGTCAGATTATGTTTAAAAAAGTATATTGTATCAACTAAAAAAAATAAAAAATATTTGTTATAGAACAACATTAAATACTTCAAATAAAACACTTAAAAAACAAGAACATTGCTCCATTAAGCAACATTGTGCTGTAAAATGTTAAAGCTCATAGGTATCAAGGAGACAGCACCAGTGAAGAACATTCTGGTGTTAATACAATCACCCGTTAACAATGCTAAAAAGTGAACATATAAATCATTCTCATGTTCAGAGTTTTAAAAAAAACACTTGAATTGGTTCATCTTAAAACAACATTACTGTAGTGAGTGAATGAGTTGAACAGTTCTAAACTTTCTCTACACCTCTCCTTTGAGTTTCTCCTCTTCTTTGAGTTTCTCCATTTCTTCTGAAGCTTTTCTCTTTGTGACGGTCGCAAAGGCTTCATTCTAATTCTTTCAATTTCCCCCCTGGATTTCTGCTCTTGATATCTAGAAAATAAAATTACAGTCTCAAAAGTAGGCCTGATATTCAATTAGGATAAGGGGTGAAAGTAGATTTAATTTCTTCCCAGAATGGGGACCTCCTATGTGTGCAGGCACTTTTTTATGGGCCTAATCATAGAATTACATATATAATCCCTATTAATTTAATAGGATGTCTATGGGCCTAATAGTAAAGATTTGTCTTAACTTTTAAAATGTATTAGCCTACCTTTTAATGTGGTATTAAAACAACAAGTCATGATGTTTTCAACTTATTGTCAAACAATTACTTCAAAAGGATAATGTAGGCTCCCTGTACATGTTACTCAGGGACGGCAGAAAGACGACCGTTTCAGAAAAAAATAGTTTTTAAGCCTCATTTACAGTGCATTCGGAAAGTATTCAGACCCCTTCAATTTTTCCACATTTTGTTACATTACAGCCTTATTCTAAAATTGATATTTAAAAAATAATAATCCTCATCAATCTACACACAATACCCCATAATGACAAAGGGAAAACAGGTTTTCAGTGCTCAGGACCTCAGACTGGGGTGAAGGTTCACCTTCCAACAGGACAATGACCTTAAGCACACAGCCAAGACAACGCAGGAGTGGCTTCAGGACAAGTCTCTGAATGTCCTTGAGTGGCCCAGCCAGAGCCCGGACTTGACCCTGATGGAACATCTCTGGAGAGACCTGAAAATAGCTGTGCAGCAACGCTTCCCATCCAACCTGACAGAGCTTGCGAGGGTCTGCCGAGAAGATTGGGAGAAATTCCCCAAATACAGGTGTGCCAAGCTTCTAGCGTCATACCAAACAAGAATCGAGGCTGTAATCGCTGCCAAAGGTGCTTCAACAAAGTACTGAGTAAAGGGTCTGAATACTGATGTAAATGTAATATTTATGTTTTCTGAGGGGGGGTGGGTTTAGCAACAAAAAATAGCTTTTTTATAATGGGGTATTGTGTGTAGATTGATGAGGGGGAAAAAACTATTTAATAATTTTTAGAATAAGGCTGTAACATAACAACATTTAGAAAAAGTGAAGGAGTCTGAATATTTTCCGAATGCACTGTAGATATTTTTCTGCTCATAATTGCTGACATTTGGTAGGCTATTTATTGATCAACTTGTCTATAATTAGACACATGCAGCTTCTCTTCTCTCATTACTTGATCCTTGTCTAGAATACTAAATAAAGCTTTGCTCACCAGAATGTCATAAATCGATAGAATGATCAATGCATCATCAACAATCTAGTTGACATCGGTAAAGTTTTATCTTTTCATTTCTGCTTCTCTCACAGAGCGAGGACGTTTAGTGACCAGGGAGATTTCCAAATGACATCAGTTTGACCGGTTTTAAGGAAATTAAAAGCTGTGGAAATAGATCCAACATGTTTCTGATAGTATTTCAGTTCGTCTTGGATGCATTGTTTTTGTGGTTGAAAATGAAATACTGTCAGCATTTATGTCGCTGAATGAAATTGCATGTTAATGCTACCCAACAGGTGCTTAAGTGCACATTCGCATTCTCTCAAGATGCTGAAATAAATAAATCATGATGCTCCACTCCTGTTAGCGAGACAAAATTAGCATTTGGTCTATAATTTTACTGCGAGGAACACTTAATTCTGCAGGAGTTAATATTATAATAGGCTACATGTAAGGCCTACATTCAGTGTCCAGACTTGAGTTACTATTCCAACTATTAGGCTACTCCACTTTAAAATAAGTACGGCATCCATACAGTGCCATTTGATAAATAAAAAGAGACATTACTTATTCAGTGATTTGTCATCATTCATTAGGCCTACACAAGTCTTGTAACCTGAATTGATGCGTACACTGCTGTCCACCCGCGTTTCGCTCTCGGACACTCATCTCTGCAGTGGCAGAATTTCAGCAAAATGTTTATTATCATTGAACCACACCACATTTTGGAGTGTCTTTGCTCATTTCTAATGCGACTGACATGCGGTAATGATAAATAGTGTAATAGCATACAGTACTTCCTACCGGACCGTTCCGACTTACTTTCACCCCTGATTAGGACAATCATTTAGATTCACATAATGAATTACAACTTTCAAGTATGTTAAACTATCAAGCTTCTGTTTTTCATATTTTCTGTTTACTATATTGTCGCTCCCTGTATCTCCGTCTCTCTCTGTCTCAAGCAGACAAAACTTGCAAAAATAAAACAAGTCTATCTAACAATGTACCCAGGATCTTGATTTGTACTGAACAAAAATATAAACGCAACATGTAAAGTGTTGGTCCCATGTTTCATGAGCTGAAATAAAAGATCCCAGAAACTTTCCATACACACAAAAAGCTAATTTCTCACAAATTGTGTGCACAAATTTGTTTACATCCCTTTTAGTGAGCATTTCTCCTTTGCCAAGATAATCCATCGACCTGACAGGTGTGGAATATATAGAAGCTGATTAAATAGCATGATCATTACACTCTAAAATGTGCAGTTTTATCACACAGCACAATGCCACAGATGTCTCAAGTTTTGAGAGAGTGTGCAATTGGCATGCTGACTGCAGGAATGTCCACCAGAGCTGTTGCCAGAGAAATGAATGGTAATTTCTCTACCATAAGCCGCCTTCAACGTCGTTTTAGAGAATTTGGCAGTACGTCCCACCGGCCTCACAACGTGCATGGCGTTGTGTGGGTGAACAGTTTACCGATGTCAACGTTGTGAACAGAGTGCCCCATGGTGGCGGTGGGGTTATGGTATGGGCAGGCATACGCTACGGACAACGAACACAATTGCACAATTGCATCGTTGGCAATTTGAATGCACAGAGATACCGTGACGAGATCCTGAGGCCCATTGTTGTGCAATTCATCTGCCACCATCACCTCATGTTTCAGCATGATAATGCACTCAAGGATCTGTACACAATTCCTGGAAGCTGAAAATGCATTGCCTGCATACTCACCAGACATGTCACCCGTTGAGTATGTTTGGGATGCTCTGGATTGATGTGTACGACAGTGTGTTCCAGTTCCCGCCAATATCCAGCAACTTTGCACCGCCATTGAAGAGGAGTGGGACAACATTCCACAGGCCACAATCAACAGCCTGATCAACTCTATGCAAAAGAGATGTGTTGAGCTGCATGAGGCAAATGGTGGTCACACCAGATACTGACTGGTTTTCTGATCCATGCCCCTACCTTTTTTTCAGGTATCTGTGACCAACAGATGTATATCTGCATTCCCAGTCATGTAAAATCCATAGAAATCCTAATGAATTTATTTCAATTGACTGATTTCCTTAAATGAACTGTAACTCAATAAAATGGTTTAAATTGTTGCATGCTGCGTTTATATTTTTGTTCAGAATATGTGTGTGCGCGCGTGCATGCTTTTATTATTTTAGGATGTTGTGAAAAAAATGCTAATAATGAACTTACTTACGAAAATAACAAACTAGTCATTTGGGAACGGAAATGTCTGAAAAGTAAATCATGACTTATGAAGTCAATCAATCAATCAATCAAATGTATTTACAGTGAGGGAAAAAAGTATTTGATCCCCTGCTGATTTTGTACATTTGCCCACTGACAAAGAAATGATCAGTCTATAATTTTAATGGTAGGTTTATTTGAACAGTGAGAGTCAGAATAACAACAAAAAAATCCAGAAAAATGCATGTCAAAAATGTTATAAATTGATTTGCATTTTAATGAGGGAAATAAGTATTTGACCCCTCTGCAAAACATGACTTAGTACTTGGTGGCAAAACCCTTGCTGGCAATCACAGAGGTCAGACGTTTCTTGTAGTTGGCCACAAGGTTTGCACACATCTCAGGAGGGATTTTGTCCCACTCCTCTTTGCAGATCTTCTCCAAGTCATTAAGGTTTTGAGGCTGACGTTTGGCAACTCGAACATTCAGCTCCCTCCACAGATTTTCTATGAGATTAAGGTCTGGAGACTGGTTCCTCTTCTTGAGCCACTCCTTTGTTGCCTTTGCTGTGTGTTTTGGGTCATTGTCATGCTGGAATACCCATCCACGACCCATTTTCAATGCCCTGGCTGAGGGAAGGAGGTTCTCACCCAAGATTTGGTGGTACATGGCCCCGTCCATCGTCCCTTTGATGCGGTGAAGTTGTCCTGTCCCCTTAGCAGAAAAACACCCCCAAAGCATAATGTTTCATTGTCATGCTGGAATACCCATCCACGACCCATCCACCTCCATGTTTGGCGGTGGGGATGGTGTTCTTGGGGTCATAGGCAGCATTCCTCCTCCTCCAAACACGGCGAGTTGAGTTGATGCCAAAAGCTCAATTTTGGTCTCATCTGACCACAACACTTTCACCCAGTTCTCCTCTGAATCATTCAGATGTTCATTGGCAAACTTCAGATGGGCATGTATATGTGCTTTCTTGAGCAGGGGGACCTTGCGGGCGCTGCAGGATTTCAGTCCTTCACGGCGTAGTGTGTTACCAATTGTTTTCATGGTGACTATGGTCCCAGCTGCCTTGAGATCATTGACAAGATCCTCCCGTGAAGTTCTGGGCTGATTCCTCACCGTTCTCATGATCATTGCAACTCCACGAGGTGAGATATTGCATGGAGCCCCAGGCCAAGGGATTTTTTTATTTATTTTTTATTTCACCTTTATTTAACCAGGTAAGCCAGTTGAGAACAGGTTCTCATTTACAACTGCGACCTGGCCAAGATAAAGCAAAGTAGTGCAATAAAAACAACACAGAGTTACATATGGGGTAAAAAACATAAAGTCAGAAATACAACAGAAAATATATATACAGTGTGTGCAAATGTAGCAAGTTATGGAGGTAAGGCAATAAATAGGCTATAGTGCAGAATAATTACAATAGTATTAACACTGGAATGCTAGATGTGCAAGAGATTATGTGCAAATAGAGATACTGGGGTGCAAAAGAGCAAAATAAATAACAATATAGGGATGAGGTAGTTGGGTGGGCTAATTTCAGATGGGCTGTGTACAGGTGCAGTGATCGGTAAGGTGCTCTGACAACTGATGCTTAAAGTTATTGAGGGAGATAAGAGTCTCCAGCTTCAGAGATTTTTGCAATTCGTTCCAGTCATTGGCAGCAGAGAACTGGATATTGACAGTTCTTTTGTGTTGTCACCTTCTCACCAAGCTGCTTGGCAATGGTCTTGTAGCCCATTCCAGCCTTGTGTAGGTCTACAATCTTGTCCCTGAGATCCTTGGAGAGCTCTTTGGTCTTGGCCATGGTGGAGAGTTTGGAATCTGATTGATTGATTGCTTCTGTGGACAGGTGTCTTTTATACAGGTAACAAGCTGAGATTAGGAGCACTCCCTTTAAGAGTGTGCTCCTAATCTCAGCTCGTTACCTGTATAAAAGACACCTGGGAGCCAGAAATCTTTCTGATTGAGAGGGGATCAAATACTTATTTCCCTCATTAAAATGCAAATCAATTTATAACAATTTTGACATGCGTTTTTCTGGATTTTTGTTGTTATTCTGTCTCTCACTGTTCAAATAAACCTACCATTAAAATTATAGACTGATCATTTCTTTGTCAGTGGGCAAACGTACAAAATCAGCACGGGATCAAATACTTTTTTCCCTCACAGTATAAAGCCCTTTTTACATCAGCAGATGTCACAAAGTGCTATATAGAAACCCAGCCTAAAACCCCAAACAGCAAGCAATGCAGATGTAGAAGCATGGTGGCTAGGAAAAACTCCCTAGAAAGGCAGGAACCTAGGAAGAAACATAGAGAGGAACCAGGCTCTGAGGGGTGGCCTGTCCTCTTCTGGCTGTGCCGGGTGGAGATTATAAGAGTACATGGCCATTTAAGGCCAGATTGTTCTTCAAGATGTTCAGACGTTCATAGACGACAAGCAGGGTCAAAGAATAATCACAGTGGTTGTAGAGGGTGCAACAGGTCAGTACCTCTAGAGTAAATGTCAGTTGGCTTTTCATAGCCGAGCATTCAGAGGTCGAGACAGCAGGTGCGGTAGAGAGGGAGTCGAAAACTGTCCGGTGAACAGGTCAGGGTTCCCTAGCCGCAGGCAGAACAGTTGAAACTGGAGCAGCAACATGACCAGTTGGACTGGGGACAGCCAGGAGTCATCAGGCCAGGTAGTCCTGAGGCATGATCCTAGGGCTCAGGTCCTCCGGGAGGGGACGGAGAGAGAGAGAATTAGAGGGAGCATACGTAAACTCACACAGGACACCAGATAAGACAGGAGAATTACACCAGATATAACAGACTGACCCTAGCTGGCACATAGACTATTGCAGCATAGATACATAGATACAGACACTGAGACGGGTGGGTCGGGGGACACTGTGGCCCCGTCCGACGATACCCCCGGACAGGGCCAACCAGGCAGGATATAACCCCACCCACTTTGCCAAAGCACAGCCCTCACACCACTAGAGGGATATCAACAGACCACCAACTTACTACCCTGAGACAAGGCTGAGTATAGCCCACGAAGATCTCCTCCACCGCACGAGCCCGAGGGGATGCAAAACCGGACAGGAAGATCACGTCTGTGACTCAACCCACTCAAGTGATGCACCCCTCCTAGGGATGGCATGGAAGAGCACTAGTAAGCCAGTGACACAGCCCCCGTAATAGGGTCAGAGGCAGAGAATCCCAGTGGAGAGAGGGGAGCCGGCCAGGCAGAGACAGCAAGGGCAGTTCGTCGCTACAGTGCGTTGCCGTTCACCTTCGCACCCCTGGGCCAGACTACACTCAATCATAGGACCTACTGAAGAAATGAGTCTTCAGTAAAGACTTAAAGGTCGATACCGAGTCAGCATCTCTCACATGGATAGGCAGATCATTCCATAGAAATTCAGCTCTATAGGAGAAATCCCTGCCTCCAGGTGTTTGCTTAGAAATTATAGGGACAATAAGGAGGCCTGCGTCTTGTGACCGTAGCAAATCGGAGAGATAGGTAGGAGCAAGCCCATGTAATGCTTTGTAGGTAAGCAGTAAAACCTTGAAATCAGCCCTAGCCTTAACAGGAAGCCAATGTAGAGAGGCTAGCACTGGAGTAATGTGATCAAATTTTTGGGTTCTAGTCAGGATTCTAGCAGCCGTGTTTAGCACTAAATTAAGTTTATTTAGTGCTTTAGCCAGGTAGCTGGAGAGTAGAACAATGCGGTAGTCTAATTTAGAAGTGACAAAAGCATGGATTAGCTTTTCTGCAAAAGTTTCTGATTTCAGCAATGTTATGAAGATGGAGAAAAGCTGTCCATGAAATGACAGTAGTGTCCTTCTAGTGTGACATGAGAACAAGTGTGAAGTGGAAAGGGAAAAGAGGAAAGGATGTTTCATGCAGTTTGGGCAATCTGGAGCCGTGTGGGGTTTAGCTAGCATTCTACTACTGTACCCACTAAAATATGTTCACATTACTTCATACAGATTAACGCTTTCAAGCATTGTCATGTAAAAGGGGTTGCACCAAATGAAAATAAAATGGGTACTAATGTGGGAGGGTCGAAAAAGTCCTATATATTGATACATTCGTAATCAAAAACTCACCCTCAGATCATGCCATGTGCTCCAGTCATGTCTTCTGCACTTCCTGGTTGAGCAAGGACCCTCCAACCGCAATGGTTTCCAGATAATAGCTCATTTTAATATCACAATATTCCACCACACCGGTGGACATAACTTTCTCTGAACAAATGTATTTGATTATAAATATTTATTTATTTTTATATGGATGGACTTGGGAAATATAATTCTCACAAATAGACATCTGTGTTAACATGCTACATATTGGAGAGAAGGGATTCGCTTATTTTTTTATTTTTTTTATGTATATTTGAATTTTCTGGAACACTTTACACATTTAGTTGAAAATAACATTATACAAATGTTATTCATTGTATGAGTCTGCAGATGATCCAAACAAAGCAGTATCTTCTTAACCATACAATAAAGAGTTTTCACAAATGAAAGTAAGTTATGCATGTTTTTGACACATTGGAGTGAAAAAAAGCAGTGGCACGTCAACCACCCATTTATTCTCTGACTGCCTCAGGTATTTGTACTATGCTGCTGAGTGTGATGATTGAAAGTGTTAGTATTGTAAGTTCTCTCCCTTTCGTTCACTCATTCTGTTAATGTTCCCTGTTTTTATAATCGTTACATCCAGACTTAAGATAATGTGGAAATGAACAAGTCACTCATAAGTAATTGCATTTGAAAATACTTTATTAAGACTGCCCCCGAGCCAGGGATATTGATTTGCACAAAGCATAGCCACTCTCATAAGCTCTAACCCCTCATCATGCCCTTAATAAGGTTGGCAGGAAGTCATACATGCCGAGGAGGTAATTGCATTTGAATCATCTTTATTAATGGAGTAACTAGTTTTGCATGTGTGGTCAAACTCCAAATTGCCTCCACATCCTGTTTAGTCATTCTGTGGGGCCAGGGGCTGGGACTGGCTGTCAGTGACCCGCTGATGACTTCCTCCTGCTGGGTTGGCGTGGTGCGTCTGAGGCTATCCTGCTGGGCGCTCCAGAAGAGATAGCTCCAGCCTCCAGACAGCCCCCTCCAGTAATCTGCCCCAGCCAGGCACAGGCTGCTTATCTCAGCCTCTTCCTGTGCCACGGCAGGGCGGTGGCATGGAGGGCATTGTGGTAGACCCTCCCTGATCTCTCCTTATATAGAGCAAAGGGTTATGTAAGTGGTTGTTGCCATCGATGGAGATACACACACACACACACACACACACAGCTGAGTTACAGTAAATAGTGATGAATAAAATGCAGTGCCTGATTTGAATCTACTGTGGTCTATTTTATTAGTTGCCCAAATCCCTGGAAGGCTTCCCTCTGTAATATAGTTAACAGTCTCTCCCTCTGCTCCATAGTAAATGCCTGTCTCTCCCTCTCCCTCGCAGCAGTGACTGCAGCATCATGGCCTCTGGACCATCAGATGTGATGCCCAACCAGGATCCAGCAGACACCCCAGAAGAGTGGACAGGTAAACCCACACTTTAACAGGCTTTGATAGCCCTTTAAAGGGGCTCTTCACTTTTCTCTTGTCATTGGTAGATAGGAAACTCTGTCTTTGGTAGTGCTATGACTGCATTACGGCAGATCCTATCTGATCAGATTTACAGTATCTAGTCTGTAGGGAGGGAATGGCAACACTACTCCTTGTCCACACAGTTGACATGGATCTATGCCTCCTCTGAGGATCTATGTCTGAGAAGCCTTGGGGTTCATTGCAAGTTGAAGTGAGAGAATTTTATCATGGTGAGAATCCCTCCACATGATCCATGCAAAATTATTAGTGTTTCTTCTAGACCCATGTGCTGTAAGCTCTCTCAGAAAGCATTGGGCTTCAGGGAGGATCAGGCCAAGCTTAAGAATATATATTTTATTACAGTTTTATTGGCAGGAAAGTAAGTACAACAAGATACATCTCAGCACCCCTAAAGAACATATTTTTCCAATGTCCGTCCGCCAACCCTTCACCCCTGCTGTGATGTGCTCTGGAAACGAGGAAGTCAGGGACTGCAAGGTCAGGCTCGGCCCTGTCTCTGGAGGGCTAGCCAGGACGTGGATTAGCCCTTTCCTTCAGGAATAAATCACACTGACAAGGGGGGTAATCTCCTCTATTGGATTGAACTTCTAAAGCGGAGGGCGAAGTCCATTAAAGTAAATAATTTGTCAATGGCTGGAGGTGTGCTGGCCAGGCGGCGGGCCAGGGGATAATGTGGCGTGCCCTGATAGTCGGAGAGAGGGGGAGGGGGTTAAGCTGCAGTCAAGATAGAGGCCCTGTGTGTACTACGCCCATGGTGTTAGAGGGGTCTTGGCCATGCCTCTTCCCAGGGTTACAGTTTGTAATAGAATTAACATAAACTCAAGGAGAGTAAGTTGTTGTTGGGTACAGCAGTGCTCACTAGATCAATGAGGATATTCAGTGGGAGAGAAGTTTGTGTCTGACTGTTTATTTATGTCCCATCTAAGCCCAAATATGGCCTGTTGGTCAAAAATACCCTCTCTGGACAAAATATCTTGGTCTCAGCTATAGGATACTTTTTAAAAACATTTTCAGCTACTATATGCAACCATAAATCTGTAGTAGTCCCTCTCCTACAGGAATTGAGTTTTCCCTTGATTGTTGACTTCAGCCATACTGAATGGCCCAATTCAGTGTGTGTGATCATGCCAGCTCAAGGTCTTGTCTGTAATTGGATCTCAAGTGTTTTCCAGAGCATGTGAGCCACAGGATTGTGTGGCTTTATATATAAATATAGTCTGTCACTACTGCCAACCTTCACTCCTCCAAGGCAGTGCTTGCTCTTTAATCAGACAATTGCATTCCTGGCTGCTAAAGGTCTCCATCCTAGGATTGTTCATGTTGCAGTCATCTCCTCTCAAATATTGGCAACATTTCTATGGATCCAACTAACTTGACCTTCTCCTTGATAATTGGCCTTTCTGCTGCGATGTTTCTCCTTCTGCTGCTATTTTGGCGTAATGTCATATTGTTTCTAAAATAGTGTGTGATTATGTGTTGTATTATGAATTGTTCACAGGCACCCTAACAAACGTGTTTTAAGATCTCTGCCTGCTATTATTCTCAACAAAGGTTTGGGGTAGTGGACAGAGTTTTTTACAGAAGAAAAATAAATAAGTAGTTAAAAAGAGGTGTTGAGATTTTCCACTGTAGTGCTAAATTTAAATGGAACACTTGAAGTGTTTTACTACCCCTCTCACTCAGTAATGCTACATGGGTTTTTGACCAACACAGGGTAAATTACTCTCACTTTACTTGAGCTCACATGAGGGAGAAGTTCAAATGTAAATAATGATAGATGTTCGTTTAAAAGCTTTCATAAGGTGGTCTTCTTTGTTTGGTGGTGAAAAGACAAAGGTAGTGAAGGAATAGCTCCCATTGTCAACTGGAGATGTTTAACCTCTGTCATGCTTTAACCATGATGTTATCTATCTCCATTGTAGGCAAGAAGAAGTCCAAGTTCCAGACCTTCAAGAACTTTTTTGCTAAGAAGAAGAGAAAAGAGGGAGCCACTCCTGCCGGGGACAATGGGTTGAAGTCTAGCCAGTCCAGTGACAATGTCAATGCCCCTGAACCAGCACTCCTCATCCGCTCTGAGAAAGACGAGGGCTCTGGGTAAGATTATATTCTTCTCACAGGTATCTTTTGGTTATCACTATGGCAACAGCCTCCAGGAACAATAAACACAATGTTCACATCTTACAGTTAAATGAGAAAATACAAGCAATTTCATTTAATCCTTAACAAAGTACAAATGTGTCATTGAATTTCTCCTCTATGTATGTTTACTACTTTAAAGGCACATATTTGTCCTAATATAGAGTGGAAAGCTGGGAATTAACATTCTGCCTACCATTTAGTCACCTGAATAATAAACCAAGTCTTGTCCGCTAATTTTAGAGTTTAGTGAATTTTCCTTCATTACCTGCTGCAGACATCTTCCCCAGAGACAGGATCTAAGTCCCAAATGGCACCCTATTCCCTATTTAGTGCACTACTTTTGATCAGGATCCATAGGGTTCCGGTTTAAAAGTATTTCACTATACAGGGAGTAGGGTGACATTTGGGACAGAGCCAGAACTATTGACTTGTCATTACTGCTCCTTTAGGTTTTTCTACAAATGTTATTCGATTTATTCCTACATGTTTGAATGGAGATGACCCAGCCATGGCCTGACTGCTACTTAGAGGAGAGCTCTGGGGCCTCATTTATAACCATTGTGTAAATTTCACACTAAATATCTGCGTGTGCCATTTCTGAAAAGACTGCATACGTCAACAAATATTGAGATCACGCCATACATGCGCATGTTTCCTGTTATAAATCAGACCTGTCGTAAATTGTGTGCATCATGAACGAGCATTATAATTCCGCCAGGAAAACGGCCAGCTGACCTTTTTATGTTGACAATAACAGCCCTATTTGCAGTTTGATTTGAAACTTTTGGAATTAGGCCACATTTTCTAAGGTGTGTTGCCAGAATGTTTTGCAGTGACTCAGACTATCGCTGTAGTATTCAGCAAAGGACAGTGACTATTTCTGAAATTAAAAATCTATGACAAATTGTTGTTACGTTTCTGAACATTTTATTTAACAATGTTTTGCAGTGACTCAGACTATCGCTGTAGTATTCAGCAAAGGACTGTGACTATTTCTGAAATAAAAAATCGATGAAATCTTTTTACATTTGCTGAACATTTTATTTAACAATGTTTTGCATTGACTATTTCCCCCAACCTAACTATGGTGCACTGCCTGCGAATTCTGAACATTGTCTAGGCCTACTCGATGCATTTGAAATTACAAGGTGAACTGTCTGTTCTAAAGTAGCCACCTTTTTTTTACGTTGTAATGTAGCTAACTAATGTAGCCAACATAACCAAAATAACGTATCTATTTACTACTGTGAAGTAGTTCCAATTAAATGAGAGATGGGATGAATTTTATCTTAATTTGTTGTAAAGCTACTTCGGGAGTATGAAACCATCACAGTCAGAAAAGGTGAGGAACCTATTCTGTGCAATAATCCGAAAATACATTATTTATTTTTATATTACAAATATATTGATTTTCGCTCTTCTCACTAACGGCAAATGATTGCATCATGTTTTTTGGTTTTTATGAATAAGCATGTCATCATTTCCCCCATTTGCACAATATACTACTTGCCTGCTTGCAAGGCAATACTTCAACTATCATAAATTGTGTGCACGCATGGTCTAATGTTTGTGGGAAGTTAAGCACATTCTCACATCAAGTAAAATGTCTATAAATGCCAACTTTTGCGTGAACTGGCACTGCACGTTTTGGGGTAGCGTTTGTAAATGAGGCCCCAAATGGTCTGATTTGTCATTTAACATGAAATCTCATACTCAATTGCTCTATTTCTTTCTTTCCAAGGTCAAAAGTCTACATGGGAAATAAGGCTCTGTCACATGACAGTGTCTTTGTCTCCGATTTGCCCCTGTCAGAGGTAAACGAGGGTCTGGGAGCCTCTCAGGACAGCATCCATGGGAAAGTCAAGTCTCTACAGGTGGGTAGTTAAGCCTGTGTTCCATTCCTCCATACTGGGACTGACTGTAATTCTGGCTGTTGTACCTATAGTCCTATATCATACACCCACAACAAGTGAAAACAATGTGTCTCCGTGGCTCGTGTTAGTATCCGATATTCAGCTCTCTTAATCGGTATTAGCGTAGGCACTCTGTCTGTAGAACCTGGGTATAAAATGTGCCAGTCTGGTCATAAGCCGGGTAGACTGGGCGCTAGCTAGCTAAGGCTCATCCTTAGGTCTTACTACCTGGAGTGTTCTGGACAGACTCCCACAGAGGGCCAGAGTGTACGCGCAGGCTAATACATACAGCAGTCAGATGCACAACAGTTAGTGTTGGCTAGGCACAACAACATGCTAAAACAGAGGAGAGAACAGAAACAGACTTGGCTGGTGTTGTTCAGCCTATAATAAGTCCATTTGGAGAAGGATAGGGATTCTAAAACCTTTTTTGGAAGGAGACAGAGCAGAGACTGTGTCCTTGAGAGCAGCTGAGCTCATACAGATAGTGTCCATTCAGTGTGTGTATCTGTGATACTGCTTTCTTTCACCACCCAAAGTCTATGTTTCAGCTAGAATGGACCTATTGTTGCTTAACTCACTTTCACTTTCCTTATCATTCCACTTTGACAAGAGTTCTTAACCACTAGGTAGGGTAGCATGCTCTCAGAAAACACATGATCTGAAAGGGAAAAGCCAATCTTAGTACACTATTGCTGCACACGGGTCATATTTGTAAAGGAGTTTGCCATTAACACATTGCAAAATCAAGGTTGATACGTATGCTATTGTCCTGCAGCTCCAGCTGAAACAGGCCATCAGGCTAGGCTCTCCTCCGTCTCTGTGTGTGAAGAAGGGGGATGACGCAGAGACTCTGTCTGAGGATGACGGCCTTCCCTGCAGCCCACCAGAGTACTCCACCCTGCACACTGTCCTGGCTGGGGTGTCCCACAGGGTACGCATCATTATGCAGCCAGGACTGGCATAGTTTTCATGGATTCATGGGGTCAACTTCATGTTAGCGATCATTGCACCAGATTAGCTACATAGCTAATTCTGGTCTTCTGTCCCTATTATGATTATAATTGTGACTGCAGTCACTTGATACATGTCACATACAGTGAGAGAAAAAAGTATTTGATCCCCTGCTGATTTTGTACGTTTGCCCACTGACAAAGAAATTATCAGTCTATAATTTTAATGGTAGTTTTATTTGAACAGTGAGAGACAGAATAACAACAAAAAAATACAGAAAAACGCATGTTATATATAAACTGTTATAATTTGATTTGCATATTAATGAGGGAAATAAGTATTTGACCCCTCTGCAAAACATGACTTAGTACTTGGTGGCAAAACCCTTGTTGGCAATCACAGAGGTCAGATGTTTCTTGTAGTTGGCCACCAGGTTTGCACACATCTCAGGAGGGATTTTGTCCCACTCCTCTTTGCAGATCTTCTCCAAGTCATTAAGGTTTCGAGGCTGACGTTTGGCAACTCGAACCTTCAGCTCCCTCCAAAGATGTTCTATGGGATTAAGGTCTGGAGACTGGCTAGGCCACTCCAGGACCTTAATGTGCTTCTTCTTGAGCCACTCCTTTGTTGCCTTGGCCATGTGTTTTGGGTCATTGTCATGCTGGAATACCCATCCACGACCCATTTTCAATGCCCTGGCTGAGGGAAGGAGGTACTCACCCAAGGTTTGACGGTACGTGACCCCGTCCATCGTCCCTTTGATGCGGTGAAGTTGTCCTGTCCCCTTAGCAGAAAAACACCCCCAAAGCATAATTTTCCACCTCCATGTTTGACGGTGGGGATGGTGTTCTTGGGGTCATAGGCAGCATTCCTCCTCCCCCAAACACGGCGAGTTGAGTTGATGCCAAAGAGCTCCATTTTGGTCTCATCTGACCACAAGACTTTCACCCAGTTCACCCAGTGCTTTCTTGAGCAGGGGGACCTTGCGGGCGCTGCAGGATTTCAGTCCTTCACGGTGTAGTGTGTTACCAATTGTTTTCTTGGTGACTACGGTCACAGCTGCCTTGAGATCATTGACAAGATCCTCCCGTGTAGTTTTGGGCTGATTCCTCACCATTCTCATGATCATTGCAACTCCACGAGGTGAGATCTTGCATGGAGCCCCAGGCCGAGGGAGATTGACAGGTCTTTTGTGTTTCTTCCATTTGCGAATAAACGCACCAACTGTTGTCACCTTCTCACCAAGCTGCTTGGCGATGGTCTTGTAGCCCATTCCAGCCTTGTGTAGATCTACAATCTTGTCCCTGACATCCTTGGAGAGCTCTTTGGTCTTGGACATGGTGGAGTGTTTGGAATCTGATTGATTGATTGCTTCTGTGGACAGGTGTCTTTTATACAAGTAACAAGCTGAGATTAGGAGCACTCCCTTTAAGAGTGTGCTCCTAATCTCAGCTCGTTACTTCTTTAAAAGACACCTGGGAGCCATAAATCTTTCTGATTGAGAGGGGGTCAAATACTTATTTCCCTCGTTAAAATGCAAATCAATTTCAAAAAAAAATTACATGCGTTTTTCTGGATGTCTTTGTTGTTATTCTGTCTCTCACTGTTCAAATAAACCTACCATTAAAATTATAGACTGACAATTTCTTTGTCAGTGGGCAAACGTACAAAATCAGCAGGGGATCAAATTCTTTTTTCCTTCACTGTACAATACCATACATACCTGCACATACCACACATTCATGTTTCATGAAAGCTACCGTGAGGATGACTCCATGCACTCATGCTTACGTCTACAGATCTATTACTGTATATCACCCTTTTATAAGTGCATTGTCACTCATCCTGTCGGTCTCTCCTTCCAAACTGGTGCAGAGGAACAGCTCCCTGAGTCTGGAGGGAACAGACAGCGATGAAGACCAGGTAATAACCCGTTATCCATGTCTCCAGTATGCTATTTTGTTAATCTAGTCATGCGCTTCCTATTCAGTGGACACAGTGAAGGATCCTCTTGGTCATTTGACCATCATGACCAATCAGAATGCATCATTAGCCCAAAGAGGAGGAGAGGAGGCTCCTCTATCGTCTGTAAAAGGACATGATGTGGATCAAGATGAGTGGGTTGTATTGTCATTTGATTTTAAGAAGAATAAATGTTCCCCAGATGTATTACACAAGTTGATGTCTTAGAGTACATCTGTCTTTTGATGAAGTATAAAGCTGTGTGTCTTTTGATGAAGTTTGTACTCTTCGAGAAATGAAAGCTTCCATGTCAGATGCAGTGTTAAGCAATAGGAGTGAATCAGGATGGAGTCATTGTTGAGCTTCATACATCGATGATATGTATACCATATGCGACAGGCTCAGAGCAGCTACATGAGTTGTGTAAGCCATATTTACACCATACATGTACACAATGGTTTGTTATAAACATCAGAATTTAGGATCCTTAGATACTGCTCTTTTCTGCCTCTCTCTGTCTGTGAATTATTTGGCAGAAGAGTCTCATGATCAAATGTAATTACTGCAACTTATTAATGAGTTAGCGTAAACAAAACAGTCAGTGGTATAATGCTGTGTGAAGTGTAGCTGGTGTTATTATCTCAGCTGGCACGCTCACACTCTGCACAATGGGACCAATGGGATGAATAGATACTTGGCTAGTTTCTATGAATGTTGATTGAATCTTTTAATCCTTTCTCAATTGAATTTGATTGAAAGGAATCTGCCAAGGGACTCCAAATAATCCTCTGAAGTTGTGAAAGGAATGTCCTAAAAAGGAAGACCACAGTTGGCATTTGATGGACTTAAAAAGACTTACACAGACCTCCAATAGCACATTCAACAGTAGCTTCTATTGTTTTTGTATATACGATAGTAGACTATTTTTCTCTTGAGCTGTCTTTTCCACGAGTTTAAAAAGGAGTCAGAATAAAATGAAAAACCTCCAGAGTAAATCACTCCACTCAGCATTCCAATTGCTGCCTCGTGGGATGACAGGAAGATGGGGGGGGGAAAGTCCCATAGGAACTGGTGTACTATCTTACCATGTGTGATTTTCAGTAGTTGCTGACTGTTCGTTCTGAATGACAAACATGACGCAGGCACACACACACAGATGCACTTGTTTGTTCCCAGAATTCCAAATAGTTGTCATGCGCTTGTGTTTTGCCTCGCTTGTGATGCCTTCAGTTGGACCCGGAGCTGTAACAAGCTAGAAGATTGTTTTTCGAGCCATAAAAGGCAGCGTGCTGTTGGTTTGACCTCTTTTGAAATGGGAAGGGGTGGCAGTACACTCCCTTCGTCTGCCTGCGCAAACACCACTGAGAATCCCACCACAAATCTTCAGCTGAAGATGATGACCTGACAGTAATAATGCTGCATGTCATTCTGCTGGTCTGTTTCTACAGGATGTATTGTTTGACTCGGAGAAAGGGGTTGCTATTGAGTCTTCCGTGTGGTCTGAATGCATTCCATTGGTTTTCTCTGGCAGTCAGGCTGTCTGCTGCAAATGGGGATATTACACCACTCACAGAGTCAGGAGGCCCTGCCAAGCCGAGCTCTGGCTATAGAACAAACAATACATTTAATTGAATGTATATCTAATCCACTCTGCTGGATACAATACAAACACATAGGTAGTTTCACTTATGACAACCTGTCTCTGGTTACACAGGGCAAATACAAATACTTTGATGCCCATAATGGCAGCAATCCTATTTGCTAATATTTCCATGTTTGTGTAAAATCTGTATTGTATATGACAAATGGCTATTTATCGTAAGAATCCACTTCTAGTATGAAAGCAAGATGTTAGAGGTGACCCATTTGCGTCTTCTTTTGAGCTTCCTCACTTCAGGTTAGACAAGTTGTCATTACAGGTGACTTAAAGTAAATCAGGGTGTCACTGAAGACCATTCACTCTCCAGTCCTCTGTCAATCTATTTACCTTTCAGAGTGAATTGTTGTCTGAAACAGTAGAGCAAACCTACATTCCAGAGCACTGAGAGCAGAGGCCTGTATTTGTTCAGCTAATGTCAGGGGGAGCCAGGCAGAAACATGCCAGGATGTAGCTCTGCCTGGGACTTCAGAGGCTGGGAATTTTTTGTGACGCTCGAAACTACTAGGTCTTGATAATGGTGTCCCTGACATTGTTTATCCAGCTGTACAGACAGACAGTCAGTCCTCCCTTTCCTCTCCTCTTCTCTGTGTCTTAATGCTTTTCCTTAGTCTTGAGTAGGAAACTCACCCATGTCTTAGGATATGGTTAATCCGTTTCAGGAGATAAACTATATTTGATCCACAATACAGTATTCTTGAATCTGTTTAGCTGGCACCTGGCATCAGCAGAGAGTAAATGACGTGTGTGGACAGAGATGTCTGAAGACATTGAGGTTGTAAGTTGTAAGAGGTTGTAATAATTATATTATTTACTGTGTTAAAATGGCCGCTCTCTCCCCTCATATGTAGATGTCCTGTGAGGCGGGCTCCAGATCGGTCAGTCCCCTGGTCTCCCTGCCTGTAGACTTCAGCCAGCCTGCAAGTCCCATGGGCTGCCTGGACAACACTGCTGCTCGCCACCGCCTGGCCGTCCGACACAAGGCCTGCTCCAAGATGAGGAAACCCACCACTGTAAGATATACATACCCATCCCTTTCCAGCACAACCAGCCCCTCTCCCGACTCCCCTGGCCAACACACACCAAACCCACCCGCTTCTATTCCATACCCAGCCCAAGTCCCCTCTGATCACCAGAGCAGAACCCCATAAAAATCCATCCCATGAGCCAAGTGTCCAGCCCATCTAGCCCAACCACAACGCGCCAGCCTGCCGTCAACATGCATGGCTGATGAGTCTACCAGATCTGTGTAAAACATGTGCCCCATATGAAGCTGGAAAGATTAATTATCTTTAAATGAACTGTATCGTTAAGATTACATTATGACTCATCTCTGCCATCTTTCTTTTGCTCAGAGGGTTGATCGCAGGGCTGAGGGAGAATCATTCCAAGAGGAAAGACTGAGTTTTGTCATTCCAGAATCTGTGGAGGAGGACAAGGAGGAAGGTAATATAAATTATCCTTATTACAGTAACATTACACAACATATTGGTGAAATATCAGAAAGATAACCATTCTTACTCAATACAATGAATGATGTGATAAAATGCTATAGTGACTTGCTTATAGTGGCCCTGCTCAGACGTAGTTATGTGTGTTCCAGATGTGAAACGTGAGCAGGCTGGTGCTGCCGAGGAGGAGAAGGAGCAGCCAGATGGTGCCGTGGTATCCCAGCAGGCCGAGAGATCAGCCCCAGATAAGGAGGAGGAGGATGAGCAGGGGGACCAACAGGAAGTGTCTCAGGATGCCTCCTCCTCATCCCCATCCCCCTCCATACAGAATGAGTCTGACTCTGAGGAATGTCTCTCAGGCCTGGCTAAGGCTCCAACTCCCCAGCCCCGGCTGCAGACCCAGACTGCCCCCCTGCCTGGCTCCCTGGACTCTCTGGAGCCCCCTACTAGAGACTACGATGACTTCCTCCTGGCCCCTACTGGGTGTGAGGCGGCTGAGGAGGGTAGCTCTCTACTCCAGGAGGTGCTGAGCTCCCTCAAGTGTCCCTTGACGTCTGTCCTGGGGTTGGAGATGGAGGCTGTGCCCCTGGAGGTGGAGGTGAATGCGAAGGGCTCATACCCTGAGAGCCGGGTGGATGAGCTGGCTGATGAGCCTGAGCATCCGTCCCTTCCTTCAGACCCAAACCAACAGGAAGAAGCCTGTCTCCCCAGTGATGGACCTGACTGCCCAGCAGCGTCCCAAGAAGAGGTGGAGGGTGAGCCTTATGAGTCTGAGGAGGAGTTAGTGGTACAACATTTCAAACCAGAGGAGGAGGAAGAGGAGGATGCAGAGAAAATCAACCCTGAATACTTAACCAAAGAAGATCAGGACATTCCTTCAGTTTATATGAAAAATGAGGAAGAAGAAGATAGTGAGGAAGAGAAAGAAGAAGAGAAGGAAGAGGAGAGGGAGGAGGCAGACGTAGAGGAAAAGGAAATAGAGGAGGAGGTAGTAGAGGAAGCAGAGGAGGTTGTGCAAGAGGAGGCAGAGGAGGAAAAGAAAGATGAGAGGAGGGAGAAGGAGGAAAAAACAGAGCCAATCTCAGAGGTGCCAGTGCAGAGAGCCTTATTGGAGGAAGAGGATGTAACACTAACCTCTGTGGAGGATGATGCACAGCAGGTTCCAGACAATGACACAGACCCTGAGAGAGCTTGTGAGAGCTCTGAGTGCCCCACTGAGCTCCCTGACCAAACAGTTAGGGACCAAGCCTGTGTCTCCCAGCTGCCAAATAGCAGAACACCTTCTCCAGAGTCCCTAGACCAGCCTGAGTCCCCTACACACACCACACAGGACCAGGAAGAGCCCAGTGTAATGACTGACCAGCCCAGTATAACCAGTCCCAGTGCAGCTGCTGGCCCAGAGCAGAGCCCCCAGGAGCCCTGTAGTGGACCAACTGCCACAGAGGATCATGGGAAGCCATCTTGTGGCTCTGAGCAGAGTAGACCCAGGTTCACCATTTCCCCCGCCTGGCAAAGGTTGGCCACCAAAGAGCCAACCTCCCCTTCTCCATCTCCCTCCCCCGCTCCCTCCCCCTCTGTCACTGTGCCTGGGGCTGTGGAAGCGGGGGTTACAGCAAAGACAGATCCCCCAAGTAGAGTGGAGCCACTTAGCCCTGTGGTGGCTGAAGTCCCTGCTAGTCCCAGCGGAACACAGAGCACCACGGCACCCATCATTCCCCCTAAAGACACTCCCCCTGCAGCCCAGGAGGAAGGGACCCCTGAGAATCCGTTTGGTGTTAGGCTGAGGAAGACCTCTGTGGGTATGCTGCGCTTAGGATCAGAGAGTGAAACTCCCCCCTCATCCCCAGGACACTCACTTCCCATAGAACCACAGAGGGTCTCGTTCACTGAACCACAGCCACAGCCACAAAGCAAACCTGCCCTGCTCAGAAAGCCCTCAGAGCTGGACGGTATCGTCAAGCCCAAGAGAACACCAGGTACTAAAACCATCTTAGTCACCATCACTCCAGTCACAGTGTTTACAGACACACCTGATATATGGCAAATCCTTCACTCGCAATGTCAGCTTTGTTTATATCTATTTTTAAAATGTTGAGCTCAATAGACTTCAGATGACAAAACATTTAGTCTGTGTATGTATGTTTTAGGAATATGGACTCCTGCTGGACTAACAATTCATACTGAAACAGGTCCATGAGTGCTGTTGAGAGCAGACTTATTGAGAGCTATCTAAAAAGAGACCTATAAACACCAAGGAGAGATTCCTCTAAATCCCTATGACTATTTCGATCAACTAATTAGCTGTATTCGAATGCTATTGATTTTCTGCATTTGTCTTTCATTGGTTCGCACCTCTTTATCTTAAATTTCCACTCTAAACAAAAACATTATGCCAAATTAAATTACCAGGCCACTCATAACATATTCCACACCATTTGAAGACATTCTCCTGTGTTCTTCTGTTTCAGATCTGTCTGTGGGTCGAGTGCCTAGTGGGGGATCTGAATCGCCAAGCTGGATCTCAGTGGCCAGACAAAAGCAAAGGATCTTCAAAGAGAACTCATTGGAGGAAACCACGGAGATAAAGGTCACTGCGGAGAAGGTAGGGATGGTGCACATTGTTTCATGTGTTCTTTTGTTTAACGAGAAGCCCACTGTTTCATAGAGGAAAACAGTTGACTTGTCATCAACCCATCCATCCATTTATTCATCCAGTCCTCAGCTCTTGTTAGCATTTCTTCTGCTATCACAACAGCATCCACCTTTTGACGCAATATCCAGATTTTATATGACTGTGAAGTTGTGTAAGTGCCATTTACTTTATGTTATACATGTTGGAATGAATAAGCAGTTCATTCAATCTCTTTCCAGGAGGAGCCTAACAGAAAAGGTTCCATTCCTACATTGACGAGTCCTGTCAACAAAGACCAAGCCAAGCCTCCAGGACCTCCTATAAAAGGTTTGACTCATCAGTATCCCACTCTGCTACCACACATATATCTCTTTCTTATAAAGAGTGTTTTCATTGTTCTCACGAAGTACTGAGTGCGATTGATACACTGCTGCCCCCATGTGGATGAAACGTGTGAATGGAATGTTCCCGTTTAAAATGTTCTGTATCTGAGACTTCATTTTATCACACCTACAGTCTCTTTAGGAGAATGCAGAGTGATTGTGTCACTAAAGATGTTGTTCTCTGCTCGTTGTCCATAGTGTTGTGTTCCCAGCCTGCCGTGGTTGAGAAAGAGGGGAAGAGAGCCCTGGCTCACCCTGCACCTACAGCCTTGGCCCAGGATGAGCCCCCATGGATGGCCCTGGCCAAAAAGAAAGCCAAAGCCTGGAGCGAGATGCCCCAGATAGTGCAGTAAAGACGGGCCGTCTCAAACCGAACCATCCGTCCACTGATGGATCAGAATGCATTTGCACAACCAGAGTATATCTTTTGTCTTCTAATACCTTCGGGTTTCTGATTGGACAGATGCTGAAACCCTCCAATCACGTGCCGCGGTGAAAGGAGTCAGTTGGGAAATGGGCCAAATTATTAAAAGTTATGGCATAAGATTGAATTCATTGACATTATATATCTTTATGTAAAACCAACCAATGATTGAATGATAGTTTTTTGTTTTAATTTCTTAAGTGTTATTGTCAGTATTCCTTGTATGAGTGTGGGTCCGGTGTGTCAAATCTTTAAACCTAGCCTTAATCTTTGATTTGGAGGATGAAAAAGCATAGATGGAGAGAAAGAACTGAAGGTTTTTTCTTTGTATTTATTAAATCTCTTTCATGTATGTTTTATGTATTTTTGTTTTATTTTTGTATGGCCTTTGAACATGTGTACATTAAATGTGCAGAAAATAACAAATGGAATCGTTGTTTCTCTTTGTCATCTCTCCTTAAGAACAGTAAGATACAAAAAACTGTGAATGTTACTCTTCTTTGTACCTACTGCCAATAGTGCACCAAAGATATAATCATAGCCATCTGTTTAATCTGAAAGGTATAGGCATACTTAGGCCGTATAATATTGTTTTACTGTTAAACAGATGCCCCGCTTCACATTTCTACCCCAACATTTTTTTGTATGTATTTGATTCATATGAACGATTCCTTTTAAACAATTATTTTAGATGAATTGAACAAATCACTTTGATATTTTTATATATTATATATTTTAGTAGTTGGGATTCAGTTCAATCCGAGTGAATCGAATCATGGGAATCAGCACCTAGCAACGACGGCTTGTGTCGCTTATTGGCCAAGGCCAGCCCTGTGGATAGCCAATGAGAGATGGCAGGAAACCCCCATGCAAAGATGCATGCAGCAGTCGGACCCTTCTCAAAACTCCACTGGTGGTAAATACCACTGAATTCCTCCTTGATCAGTTGTTCTCCGCCTCGTACCTGTGCTTCGTACAGTGGAGTAGTGGAGGGTAAACACACAAACGGTGTTTACGCACCTTTTTTATTTTGAGTGAGTGTTTTGATTTATATAAACCCTGGATTGCTGATGTTATGTATTGGCCAATGAGAGGCTTTGAAGCCACCGGTCGGCCATATTGGCACTCCTCAGAAGAAGCAGTCCTCCATAGGAATGAATGGAATTCTACAGTATTTCAATGAAATGTTTCAAGGACAAAATTACATGTATTTAATTATTGTTTTTGTTATAGTGGGCACAGAAAAATTAGAACTTGTGGTAACACTTAATTTTAAGGGTTCCTTATTACATTGCAATTACATATGTAATTACACTAACAAGTATTGTAATTGTAATAATTAATATTTACACTGTAAGAACATGTAACTGGTGGTAATTGCAGTTTGTAATTACAGGGGTGTAACAACGAATGCTTGTTACTATGCTTGTTACAAATGTTAACGTTTCCGATATGCATCCCAACGCACCATATTACAGCATGCACAAACCACGTGATGATTGTTAGCCAATTGAAAACCGACCACCTCATTGACACAACTCTGCCATAAAGATCTGGAGTCTGATGCTCAGGCCCAATGGCAGAAATCAGTTCACAAACGGTTCACATAATGTTTTATATTTTTTATTGTTAAATAATTTAACGGTGCATTTGACAATGGGTCAATTACTTTAACCATCAATTACATTTTCTTAGACACATTAATAAACAGTTATGGTTAAAATTGTGAGACAGTCATTTGTGCTTGCCAAATTGTAATGGTTTATAAATGCACTTAAAAGGGTCACAAGACAAAATCTTATTTCATCATACAACCTTGCAAGGGTTTCACTGTTGAGGAACATTCTCACTTTTGGATGGGATGCATTAGTGCAATTATTTATTTATCCCAGGAATTAAGGCAAACCCAAACCGACAAGCCGGGTACCTTCTCCTTTGAGACAAGTACAGGAGATAAAAATACATGTTACGTGCCTGAAGGCCCTGAGCAGTCGATGGATAGTGAACTTGAAATTGACCCTGACAAAAGTAAGGAGAAAGAACCTGCATCATCAGGTGAGGTGAAGGCTTCCGAGATGACTTTGACCCAATGGGAGTACGATTTGTGGAGGAAGTAGATCCATGCCTTTTTGGTCAAAGTATCCAGAGGTGGACAGAGCTTGATTGTTTTCTGTCTTCTGCTGCGAGGGAGAGGGCGCTGCACTTTTCGAGAGTCAGGACGAAAGCGGTGGCCTGCTTTGCTCTCTGGACCAGAGCGACGCTGAAAGGAGTGATAATTGGGGTGGGGTTGAGTGTTAAGGTGGATCAACTGAAGTTGGGGATCCCCAGCGTCTGTGATGCACGCTGTTTGGTGCGACGCAGACTTGGTGGAGTGGGGGTGGGGGGTGCAGAGGACTATTTTTCTCCTCTAATACAGGAGTAATAAAGGCACAGTTCAAAAAAGAAAAGGGGTTCCTGCCTCCCAGGCCGACTGCCTTGAGTAGGTTCTGTTGGGGCCAAAGTACTGGGAAGGGGTGGTGGAGTGTGTTGGGGATAGTGGTGTATGTACAGTGCATTCGTAAAGTATTCAGACCCCTTGACTTTTTCCACATTTTGCTACGTTACAGCCGTATTCTAAAATTGATTCAATTGTTTTTTGCCATTCTCAATCTACACACAATACCCCAAATATTACATGACGGAAATATTACATTTGCGTAAGTATTCAGACCCTATACTCAGTACTTTGTCGAAGCACCTTTGGCAGTGATTACAGCCTAGAGTCTTCTTGGGTATGACGCTACAAGCTTGGCACAGCTGTATTTAGGGAGTTTCTCACATTCTCCTCTGTAGATCCTCTCAAGCTCTGTCAGGTTGGATGGGGGGCGTCGCTGCACAGCTATTTTCAGGTTTCTCCAGAGATGTTCGATCAGGTTGAAGTCCGGGCTCTGACTGGACCACTCAAGGACATTGGGACTTGTCCCAAAGCCACTCCTGCATTGTCTTGTCTGTGTGCTTAGTGTCGTTGTCCTGTTGGAAGGTAAACCTTCGCCCCCGTCTGAGGTCCTGAGCGCTCTGGAGCATCAAGGATCTCTCTGTACTTTGCTCTGTTCATCTTTCCCTCGATCCTGACTAGATTCTCAGTCCCTGCCGCTGAAAAACATCCCCACAGCATGATGCTGCCACCACCATGCTTCACCGTAGGGATGGTGCCAGGTTTCCTCCAGACGTGACGCTTGGCATTCAAGACAAAGAGTTCAATTTTGGTTTCCTCAGACCAGAAAATCTTGTTTCTCATGGTCTGAGAGTCCTTTAGGTGCCTTTTGGCAAACTCCAAGCGGGCTGTCATGTGCCTTTTACTGAGGAGTGGCTTCTGTCTGGCCACTCTACCATAAAGGCCTGATTGGTGGGTCCTGCAGAGATGGTTGTCCTTCTAGAAGGTTCTCCCATCTCCACAGAGGAACTCTGGAGCTCTGTCAGAGTGACCATCGGGTTCTTGGTCACCTCCCTGACCAAGGCCTTTCTCTCCCGATTGCTCAGTTTGGCAGGGCGGCCAGCTCTAGGAAGAGTCTTGATGGTTCCAAACTTCTTCCATTTAAGAATGATGGAGGCTGTTCCTGGGGACCTTCAATGCTGCAGAATTTTTTTTGGTACCCTTCCCCAGATCTGTGCATCGACACAATCCTGTCTCTGAGTTCTACGGACAATTCCTTCGACCTCATGGCTTGGGTTTTGCTCTGACATGAACTGTCAACTGTGGGACCTTATATAGACAGGTGTGTGCCTTTCCAAATCATGTCCAATCAATTGAATTTACCACAGGTGGACTTCAATCAAGTTGTAGAAACATCTAATCGATGATCAATGGAAACAGGATGCACCTGAGCTCAAATTCGAGTCTCATAGCAGGGTCTGAATACTTATGTAAATAAGGTATTTCAGTTTTTTTATTTGTAATACATTTGCAACAATTTCTAAAAACCTGTTTTTGCTTTGTCATTATGGGGTATTGTGTGTAGATTGATGAGAAAAAAAAGTGTTTAATCCATTTTGGAATAAGGCTGTAACAAAAGAAAATATGGAAAAGGTCAAGGGGTCTGAATACTTTCCCAATGCTCTGTTAGATGGCGGTGCAATTTTATTTTTTCCCCCATTTCCTTTTTTTTGTGAACAAATGTGCAATGCACTTTCCAAACTGTGAAAGGCAGCAAAATCACAGTTTGGAAAGGGCCTTGCACAAAATCCAGACATGAAAGCTTGCCGTGAATGAAACAAAGTGTTATAGGTCAGAAATGTCAACACAGGAGAGAGAAAGTAAGTTTTCCATGCAATTTGTTTTGCTTTTTTGGATACATGAATTTTACTGGACGGTTTTCATTGTTTTGCCCACCAAGCAAGGAGTTTTTGTATGATTGTCAATGAGAGAGTGTTGAATTTGGTCAACAAAAAAATGAATGGCTTATTTACTATGTGAGGTTTATTTGATCTAACAGAAGTTTCGTAATGTTTAACTTGTTACCAGTGTACTGATATAAGTAGGACACGTGTCATCCCGGCAACTTTGATTAAAAAACACTTTTATATTGGCGTTGTCTCGAGATGGCTATGCATATTCATGGTATGAGGCTAGAAGCATAGCATCTCCATTGAATACAGGCCGTTGACGTCAGCAACCCTCATCGAATATTCAAAAAAGGATTACAATAATGAGATGTATCCACCAATCCAAAGAAAGGATAGGCAGGAGGAGCTAGACAGCTTGCGATGCCGCTTTGTGGACAACTACTCCCATTGTTAGAGCGGAGAAGACATGTATCTTGTCAGTATATCTGCAATCTTTGTAGCTAGCTAGCCTAGTGTTGGCTAGCTAGCTATCGTTAGCTGGCATTTTTGTTGAGCCTACCATTTAGGCTAGCTAACTAGTTACCATCAACAGAATATACTTTCTATGCAATCTGTTCAGTTTTATGGATTAGCTAGCACTCTAGCTAGCTAGCTAGTTTTCTAACCTTGCTAGCTACCTAAAGCTGGCAAATATGCTATGGTTGATGCTAGCTAGCTAACATTAACTGGGCTCGATGGTCTTATCATCCCTGAACCTTGTTCTCAGGGTATCCGTTCCCCAAGGGTTTTGCATGAGACACACCCAGCATGTTAACATTAGCTAGCTAGCTACTTGTGTCAACACAAGCTAGCTGGATAACACAACAACTAGCTAGGCCTAGCTAGCTATATGCCTAAACTGTAGAAATCTGATGATGATGAGAAGTAGGGGTAATGTCTATGCTAAATTCTCATACATTCTTCTAGCTTTGGGACACAACATTGGGAGTCTGTGTATTGGTTGGACTCCCTAAGTTGTGCGTCATTCTGGTTGGCGATGGAAAATAACCAAACTACAATATAGCCAGTTTCACCCGACAATGTTTCCTGTCAACA